GAATCAAAGGGCTGTGGCTGTTGTTGTTGTTGATCCGATATAGTCTGTCAAAGGCAAAGTAGTTACTGATGCTTTTCTCTTGATCAATCCTCAAATGCTTATGCTAGGTCAAGAGCCACGTCAAACCACTCCCAATATTGGACATCTTAATAAACCAAGTATTCAAGTACGATCATTAATTTAAATCTGTTTTTATTTTAAAGTTTATATTCGTTAACTCTTCGATTTATCCTTACTTAGGCTTTGATCCATTATTATTGCTATTAATTATCGAAAGTATGGAAATGTTGCTCAATTTGCACAAAATAATTTGGACCCATGGATTGACGCTGCCAAACTTTACGGAAGACACCGAGATCAATGGAAAGAGTGTCAATGTAAAGATTTAGATTTACAGTAAAGATTTTTTTTTTTCGATTTGCTTATGAAAAAATTTCAAACGAAGCTTACATTGGCGGAATCTTATAATAAATCGGTACAAGAGGAATCAACCATAACACTAGAACAATTGAAAACTCGATATGTTGGAAAACAGGATCCAAAGCGTCATTTAGAGGAAAGTGTAGAAGACGTTATGTCCAAAAATATTGTAAAGATACTGGTATTATGATTGATTCAGTCAGTTTCATAGGTACAAATCAAAAAAATAAAATACAGGGATTATTTACCAATTTTATTGAAATGCAAACTTTTTGTATTTGAAAAAATTTAATACTTTTAAATATATAGAATGAATGAAATAAATTTTGGAATATTAAATATTATAAAATTACAGCATTTCATAAATCTCAACCCATGTTTAAATTTTAATTAATTCATTGGAGCTTACATTTACCAGTAAAGTTGTAGGAAAATTTATTAGCCGAAAGCCAATACGGCAATTTAGAATTCAATTAACATATTTGGAAATAAAAAAGCATGCCTTTGTATAAATAAACATTTTTCGGTTTTTTTTTTTATTTTTCACGCGCTAATCCATTTTTTTTCCTTTATAAAGAAACAAAAAAGCAGACAAGTTTTTGAGCACATCTTTCACAGTACCTTATACATAATTATGACCAAGCTATAATGTTCTTTTCTTTTTCGTAGCCCTTTCACAAAAAAAAATTTCTCATAATGAACCGCGCCCACCTTGAATAAACTGTCACGGCTTATATCTTTCTTTCAGCGAGAGACTATCTTCTAAAAGCTTTACTCTTGCCGTAGCTGATATCTGGATCTCAAAACTTAACCTGCTGGTAAGCTCTTTATTCTTTTTCTTTAATGT